TTGGTACCGACTTGATGGCACCTAACAACAACAACAACAGAACAAAACTACCCTGTCCTGCATCATCCTCCCAATTGTGGTTACACGTGAGCCCATCCCTGCTGCCTCTGTGCCAGTCCATCTCACTGGAGGGTCTTCCTCTTTTCTACTGACCCCCCCACTTTACCAAACATAATGACCTTCTCCAGGGACTGCAAGTCCATGGTTCTCTTAGTGTTCTTCTCCAACACCATAAATCAGTGCATCAGTTCTTGTTGTCGTTATGTGCCATGGAGTCGGTTCCGACTCATAGCAACCCTTTACGGGAATTAGAAAGCCTCATCTTTCTCCCTCGGAATGGCTGGTAGTTTCCAACTGTCGACCTTGAGGTTTGCAGCCCGATTCGTAACCACTACACCACCAGAGCTCCTTCTACTCCCCCTTTAAAATTAACTTCATTCATTGTTCAGTGCCACGGAGTCAATTCTAATAGCGACTCTCTAAAAGGTTTCCAAGTAACAGCTGGTGGGTTTGAACTCTTGACCTTGAGGCTGGCCGACTTGCTTGTTTTCCAGTACCACACCAGGGCTTTATTTTTTAGCACAGTGTCTTGACACATGGTGACTCTGCATAAGGTTTTTAGTAGGTGGTCTTCCTTATTTACTGTCCAACTTTCACATGCGTATGAGGCTGTTGAAAATACCATGACTTGGCCTCAAATGGACATCTTTTCTCTTGAACACTTTGAAGAGGTCTTGTGCACCAGAGATGTCTCTTTAGAACTCGGTAAATCGCTTTTGATACATTTAAGAGCAGACATTTCCATTTCTTGCTCTATTTGTATCTAGCTGTTGGGTCATTGCTTTGTATCGTATGGGTCCCTGTACCTTCTCTGTCTAAAAGTGTCATTGGTTCCTGACACTAAGTGTCCCTATGTCAGTCCATCCAGCAAGGGTGGTGATCGGCCATGAGCCATTTGTCCCTTCACCAAGACCAGGGAAGAGACCTCCCCCCAGCCTGTCTGTCACATAGGCAGAGCCAGGTGCCCGGGTTCAAATCCTAGCTCTGCTATTTCTTGAGCAAGTTGCTACCGGCTTCTGCTTCTGTTTCCCCATCCATGAAGTGGGTACCCTCATGTTCCCTTCTCATTGGATTGCCGTGAAGATTCAATGCTTTGGTCCATAGGGAGGTTTTGAGATCGGACCCATTGTGACATGGGTGAAGTTTCAGCTGGTGGGGGGGGAGAAAGTGGGCCACCATGAACTCGTGTCATTTTGACAGCTGTGAGTTCACTGTGGTACTGCATTCTGTGATTTATCAACGTCTTCTCACACACATGAGAAATTAGTATGAAAAGCCAAACTTTCTCTTGTCACTATTGGCGTTTATACATACCTGCCCACCGGGGGACCATGACTGCTTAAAAAAAACCTAAAACCACTGTTCTTGAGTTGATTCCAATTCATTTTGACCCTGATGGACAGAGGAGATCTGCCCTCAAAGGATCTCCAAGGCTTTCATCTTCACAGACATAGACTACCTCATCTTTCTCCTAAGGAGCAGCTGTTGGGTTTGGACCACTGCCAAGCTTTCGGTTCCAAGTCCAGTGCTTAACCCACTGTGTCACCAGGGCTCCTTGTAAGTGGTCTCAGCCACTCCCCACACTGTGACTCCTCCACGTGTACCTACCCACTGCCCCAAGGTCACCACGTATGGACGCCATGCATATTTACACTCAACATCCTTCTCCCTGGACTGTAAACTTTTGGTGACAGTCAAGTGTGAGGGAGCTTCATAAAGTTGGAAAAACAGAATTAAAAAATATTGAAATTCTTCCATAAGCTTTTTGATGCCCCCTGGTATTTCTGAGATGGAGATTCAGGTCCATGTGAGCCGTTCACTCATGGGATCCTTTGGCTCTCTTCTTGATGCCCTCCTGTCTGCCCTTGGCTGGTTCATTTCCCATTTGCCACCACCTCTTTGATCTTTCCAACCTGTGCAAACTCACATTACCCATGTCAATTTCCTTGTACACAACCCAGCTTTCCTCATCTCCGCCTGTCCGCTGGAATCCACTCCACCCCTGCTTTCCAACCATGGGTGATATGCTCCCATGCATGTGGCCTCCCAGTCTGCCCCCTCTGGGTGAGGGATGAGGGTAAGAGAAGCAGCGTCTGTGAGCCCTGGCCTGGGGGAAGGCCATGCTAGCCGCGTGGACACCATCTGTGTGGTCTTCTGTTCCTGCCAGGCCTCCCCTGTGACCAGTTGCCCTGGTGGGTGACACTGAGGGACTGGAGAGGAATGGAGGCTGGTAGCAGCTCCCGGTCAGAGGCTGCTTTCCTACCTGTCCCTTCTACCCATCCTTGTTAGTGTTGTTTTGTTGAGTGTCCTTAAGTCGGCTCCGACTCACACTGACCCAGGTAGAGGCTAAGAAAGCGTTGGCCGCTTCTGTACCGCCTTCCCAATTATTCAGGCCCAGGGTTGTGGCAGCAGTATGTTCTGAGTAAACCACCCCCCTCCCTGGGACTTCAGCTTCCAGATCTCTTTGTGAACATAGCAGAGGAAACCTGTGCCCAAATCGGATTATAACCATGGCGACAGGTGTTTATGGCCTATTTGGGGGGACATAGTTCTATCCATAATATATTGGTGGTCTCCTGACAACTTCCAGTTTGCGGAAGTGGAAGCTTCAATGTCACGGCCTCCACATCTCGGGGTGGAAAAGGCGTTTGACAGGACGGTCCTCAGGAGTCCGATTTGTGTGTGATTAAGGTGATAGTGTTGAATCCTATCATGGAAGGCCTGAACCGCCAACTCAAACCAGTGCCCGTCCCAAGTCTGAGCTCACAAAGCGACATTCTTTGAGCCCGCCAGTCATTCAGGTACCCAGCCACAAACACTGCTCTGTGTTGCGAAGGTGGAAGTCTCCCTCTGGTGAGTGGGAACAGTAGGTAGGTGAAGGAGAGGAAAGTGACCCAGGGTTAGAGGGGGGCCACGTGTGGGTGTGTGGCCCCTGGGGTCCACTTTCTCAGCTTTTCTCCTTGACTCCCCTCACTGTGCTGGAGGCGGTGGTGTGCTTCTTCTCCGTCTGGTCTATTGTGGGTCTCTCAGGGTTCCACACGTACTTGATCAGCTCTAACCAGACAACGAATGAAGACGTAAGTTCTGGACTCCATGGGACATGGACACATTCTTTTGTGTTTAGCAGCCGAGAAGCAAAGAGGAGTTGAGGTTGGGATCACCTTCTATGCGTCCCATCCCCAGTGTGTCCTCTTGAGAGCAGAGAATCCGTAGCAGTGTTCCTACATACTGCATCTCTCCCCATTTGGAGTCCCTGGATTCTCTTGTTCTAGTCTGACAATGTCACTTCAATACATATAGGTCAGCCAAGGACACCCAATTTCAGATCCCAGGAGAAGACTCCGTTCCATTCCTCCTTAAATCGTTTTGTCTCACCTTCCCTCCTAAAGAGACATTGTGGCAGTCTGACGTCCCAGAACAAACATAGGAGACAACCATTCAGATTTAATCTCTTCAGTTTGGTGATGATGTTGCCTGAACCCAAAATTTACTTTTGTTGTTGTTGTTAAGTACCGTGGAGTCGGTTCCAACTCATAGTGACCCTGCACAGCGTTTCCAAGGCTGTAAATCTTTACGGGAGCAGAAAGCCTCATCTTTCTCCTGCGGAACAGCTGTTAGTTTCAAACTGCCGACCTTGAGGTTAGCAGCCCGATTCATAATCACTACGCTACCAGAGCTCCTTAAATATATCTAGCTAAACTTAATGCCGACAGACAAAAAGTATGAAAATACGGCACATCGTGTTGGAAAACATTTAATGATAAGCATGGTCCCCTCTGCAGAAGTCTCCAAGACATGAATGAAATGCCCCAGAATCAGTTACCTGAAATGAGGGCCTGAGAAACCAGAGGCAGTGAGAGCCAAGATGAAATTCCTATCTCCATCTGTATCTGGTAACTGGATGTTAGAATCTGCCAAACAGAGCAGATGGGGAGTCCCACAGCTGTATTCTGACAACCTGTGAGGTCAGTTTTGGCAGCTAGAGGAATCATGTTAATTTCCAAGCTGCCAGTCATTTAACGAAGATTTAGGGCACCAAGTGTGAGCCTGTGACTCCGTACCTTGTGGCAGAAATAAAAGCTTCTTATTTACTTTCTCCTTAATCCAACCTGCTGCTATAGGACTGAATATTTCCAAGTTTGGGATATATGCCAATTTTTCTTTTTTTTAAAAAAAGTGTCCATTTTCTGTTCCTGGTGAAGACACAAGTCAAGACTGCCTGCTTTCTGTATGGTCTTCTCCCGGTCCCACCAGCTGGGGGGTGGGGGGAGAGGCACTTAGGGGAAGGTGACTGTGTGTGAATAACTGTCCTTTTCTTTCAGATTAAAGGATCTTGGTCAAATAAAAGAGGCAAAGAAAATTACAATCCCTACAGCTATGGGAATATCTTTACTAACTGCTGTGCTGCCCTGTGTGGACCCATTTCACCCAGGTAAGACCCAGAAGGTCAGGTGCTTTCTCAAGGGCGGAGTTAGCCCAGGTGAGGAGAGCACTGGCTGGGGTCAGCAGCCGATGAGAAGGTCACAGCTTCGCCATGCGTTTTCATGGCAGAAGGGGCAAAAGGCAGGGCCTGATGGTGCCTGAGGCGGGTAGAGATGCGCTCCGAGATGCCCAGCAATGGAGTCTAGAAATGGAATTTACCGCGAGCAGCATGTCTTTGATTTTTCGTTCACTCTCTTCTCTCTGCCCACCTGCAGCCTGATTGACCGTCGAGGGTTCGTCCAGCCCGACACGCCGCAGCCAGCAGCACCCTCCAACGGCATCACCATGTACGGGGCCACCCAGTCGCAGAGCAACATGGTAGGGTACCTGCAGGGGGCGCTAACCAATGACTAACCCGAGCATCTGGAAAACCCGCCCACTGGCCTTGAGGGACTTGAAGCGTTACATGTGAAGGCTCCACCCAGCCAAGCCACGTGGCATTGAGCTTTCTTTGTTTGGAGTTGTGTAGAGAGAGACGCGTGCGTGCACACACACACGGTCTCTTTGGCAGAACTACATGCGACATATTGTGATGGGCAGTCACCTCCTTAGAACCAGGGTAATATTCTGGGGTGACGTGTGACAGTCCTAGGCAGAGCCAGGTGTTCCTGGCATTCTTGGTTTCCCATTGTCTCACTCTGTACTGATCTCCCTCTTCTCTAAGAAGTCAGGGACTCGCCAGGCTTTTAGCCAAAGTCTTAGATAGTCGTGTACACTTTAGTGAGAATAACAGGCAACATTCTCATTCATTCCCAGCAAACCCTAAAGGAGTGCCTTTCCCCAGAGTGTGCCTTTGGGCAGCATTGTGTTGGCGGGAGTGTGAAGGGCTTTGTTTCTAGTTTACGGGTGGGGAGATGTGGGGAGGGTGCTGGAGCTCAGCGCGGCCCATCTTTCATGATTGGAACCTAATATCCATTCTGTTGCTGCTGCTGCTCTTAAGTGACATCAAGTCCGTTTGACTGCACAGTGGCATGTGTACAGCCAAAGAAACCCGGCCCGGTCCTGCAACAGCCTCACACTAATTCGCTGTGTTGAAGTTCGTGGTTGCAGCCACTGTGCCATTCCATCTTCCTGAGTGTCTTGCTTTTTCCAACCCATTGAAGGTCTTTTTTTTGTTTTTGTTTTTTTTTGATGACCCTTTACCAAGCATGATGTCCTTCAGGGAGTATGGTAGTGGTTAAGGGTTTGCCTGGGAACCAAATGGTCAGTGGTTCAAATCCACCTGTCACTTTTGGGAGAAAGATGTGGCAGTCTGTTTGTTGTTGTTAGGTGCCGTCAAGTTGGTTCTGACTCCTAGCGACTCCGTGCACAACAGAAAGAAATGCTGCCCAGCCCTGCTCCAGTCTCATAATTGTGACATTTAAGCCGGTCACAGTGTCAGTCCACCTACTCCATGGTATTCATCTTTTTCACTGACCCTCCACTTTGCCCTGTCCCGGGACTGGTCCTTCCTGACAGCACACAGGGCGATTCTTCTCTGTCCTCCAGGAGTGCTAAGAGTTGACTTCATAGCAGCGGATTGAAATCCCTCAAGATGTCTATAAGACAAAATGTTATTAATAATAACCCAAGTATTCCATATGGAAGGCGAGAATTCTGCCACTAACCACCATGGCCCTCGTGACTTTAAGTAGTGGTGGCGTTGTGAAGTGCCATCAAGCTGGTTCTGACTGACGGTGACCCTTTGTAGGGTTTCCAAAATGTGGCTGCTGGGTTTGACCCGCCCACCTTGTGGACTAGGGGAAATGCCAGCATCATGGAACTTTGTCTCTGCATAGAAGGAACTGTAGGGTAGACGTGAACAGAGACAAGGCTGACTCTAATAGCTAGGGTCTCGGGGTGATGTTGCACCCCACTCTGGGACCAGTGGTGGACCCTTGGAGCTGCATTTACCGCCACAAAGCCTGAGGCTCCAGCCCTAACCAGGTGTCTGCCCGGTGGCCTGTTTGTGGTGTTTTGCTTTGCTTGGGTGTTGAGAGTGTGTTCACAGCCCAGCGCTTCCACCTGTAAGCACTCACGCTGATGGCTTGTTCTCTCCACACTCACCCCCCGCCATGAAGCCCGGAAGAGATTCACCGGTCACACACACCCTTATTTTTCAGAGAGATGTGGAGACTGGCTCACAGGGAACGGGGTGGCATTTCTCCTTGCCCTTACATTTTCCCTGGTGCCTCAAGATAAGACACAAGTGGGGGGCAGTGAGGAAGGAGCTCATGTGACTTCATGCCACAGAATGCCAGCAGGCAGCTCATTTGCACTTTAGACCCCAGACCCCGATGTGAACGATGTCTTCTTCAACCCTGACCAAGGAACCAATGGTGTACTAAGTCATGACTGGGCTCTCCAGCACTCCATCCACATACATGAAGCAGGGGAGGAGCTCCATCATTCTTTATTTATGCATGTAGACCATCTTTCCCAATGGTTATAAAGACACGGCAACACCCAGGAAGTGGTAGAGTGAGCCAGACACAGGGTCTTTGCCAGGAGCCTTTCTCACGGGAGGGTAACGCTCAGGGTCCACACCCTGGTGCAATTTTCATACCCATAAGCCCGCAGAAGGCATCTTGCATATGATTTCAGTATCAGGGTCTTCCCAGAAAGCCCCTGGGCCCCAAGATACAGAAGTCCTACATCAGTGAGTACCATGGCCTGCCTTCTCCCCCCAACCACAAAGATGCTCTAACAAATCACAAAATCCTGAAATTATACACATTAGATTCTGCCCAACTTGGGAGATGGCATAGCCTTGGAGTCCTTGACCCAGGCTCTCCAAAGCTGTACAACGGAGACGCTTCTTCATGTGGTGAGCACTTCAGAGTGTGCCACCAGATTTTCCAGAGACTGTCACTTCAATCTGTGTGATGAGCCATAAGGGGGTGTGAGCGAGATGGTCGTCTCTGTGGGATGAGCGGTCTTGACAAGCTATTTAGTCTTTCTCTGAAGTGAGTTGCTGTTTTGTTTTGCGTTCTTCACCATTCTCTCCAGGACCTTGTAAATTGACCCCTTTCAGAGCAGGAGGAAGTGATAGCCGGGGACCATCTAGTTCTTCTGGTCTCAGGATCAAAGAGGCTGAGGTTCGAGTGGTGTGTTCGATCACTGGGCTAACAGTTTCCATGTATCTGAAATTTTCTTCACTCTTCTTTGCTCTGAACAAGGAGACATCAATAGCTGTAACTTAGGTAGCTGTTTATGAGCTTTTGAGATTTCCGTCACTGCTCATCAAAGTAGGGTATAAGAGTCTTGTCTTTGTGGACTTTGTTATGCCACCTGACCTTGGTGTCCCCTGGTTTTATGATCCTGAGTCCTCAGGTCCAGTGACTCATTCCCTCGTGGTGTTTGGTGATGTCTAAGAAGTTACATACTTTGCCCCCTGTGTGCCCCACCACATTCATGGATATATTCACAGCAAAGGTACAAATATCCTGTCAAATGTTTACACTTTGTCGATTTACTCCCACTGTGTTGCCTTCCCTCCAGTGTTTTCCCCTCCCTCCCTCATTTTCCAAGGAAGATTCTTAAGCAACATTCGTTCCTTTCTTCCTTTCCCCTTTCTTCCTTCTCTCCAATGTGTCACATCTTCCAAAGGCTTCACTCTGCATGTGGAAAAGGGTCTGGCAGAAGGACTTCCTTGGTATAGTAACATCAGAAAGCACTGCTCTCGGTAGAATAAACTTAGCCCAGGAGCCAGGAAACCAGATACCGGGACTGTTTTATCCATGAGACACTATAGCCAAAGGCCCCCTGAGCTTTTCTAAGGACTAAGAAAAATGTGCAGACCTGAAAAGAAATCATAGATGCTATAAAACATGAAAATTGCTGACTCAAAATCAGTAAATGTTCAATGTCTCTAAAACACACAACTACAACCATGTCAACATTGTTAAGTTTAGCCTTCAAGAAAATTTCATTACGTCTTAGAATTGATTTGTAGATTAGACTTTTCCCACTTTATGAGAATCCCCAAGAACACATACAATTACATAAAAATCATCACCAATTACAAAGTAAATTAGTTACTCATAAAGAAATAGAAAAGTAAAATTATAAAGTCAAATTGACTTGAAATCTCATGCCCTTTCTATCCCACCTTGAGGCTTTTGTTAAGAGACACTCGGGTTTACAGTCTGTGAAACTTGGAGAACTCATTTTGGTCCCAAGGCTACCGCACACTGCTGGGAGTGCCCCCAAATCCACCCAAATTGGAGCATCTTCAGGAAGAGCAGGATCTGAAAGCCCTCTCAGGCAGAAAGAATGAGGCTGACATTGTGACATCAATGTGACAGAACTAGGGCTGGGGTGGGTCAAGAAGCCAGAGCTGCCAACCCAAGAAGGAAGCCCAGGGTGTGGTAGACAGGGGTCACTTCCACCCCTGTGCATTGGTGGAGGGGCTGCCCGTTGACAGTTGGGGTTCCTTCCAGTACAATCCCAGCAGATAGACTCTGCTCTGTCTTACGGGCGGCTGCTGCCAAACTCTCCAGTCTTGTCCGTGGACCAGTATCACGTACCAGGTACTGTTTGATTCTAGCTTGTGTCGATAGTCCATTCAGGCACCAAGACAACTTGTATTTGGATCAGTTCAGTTGTTCTTCGTGGGCTCCTGTTGGGTAAGGGGCACGTTAATAAGATGACGGAGAGTGGACCCAGTCACATGGAACAGAGCTGGCTGTGAGTCTTCCCCCACCCCACCCCTAGTCCTCTTTCCATTCACTCACAATCACGCTGACCAAGTGCCTTCCATCTCCCCTGTATTTTCCCAAGCCTTTTACATAGGAAACGCATGCTGCTGCACCAACCTTGTGGGGCTGGTACAATGTGGTCCTCATTTTACAGATGTGGCACAGAGAGTTTAAGTAAGTTTGTCTAGTGCTAACTGCACAACCTGACCCCAGAGAGCATGCGCCTAACCCTACACTATACTCTTCCTCCACCAAGAAACAGTTACTGGGCATTTCTCCCATAGCTGTTCCAGTTCCACATCGTATTACCCTCATCTTCTCTCCCCCTCAGCATCTGCTCTGAGAAAAAGATGTTTTCAATCATTTATACGTTAAGGGAAATGTAAGCCAACTTTCAGGACTATAGAAGTGTGCAGTATGAATGACTATTCGCTATTAAAAATATAAATATTAACGTTGTGGTTAGGTGTCATTGATCCAGCTCACGGTGACCCTGTACACAACAGGATGAAACACTGCCTGGTCCTGCTTCATCCTCACAATTGTTGTTAAGTTTGAGCCCACTGCTGCAGCCACTGTGCCAATCCATCGCACTGGGGTCTTCCCCTTTTTCACTGACTCTTCACTTTCCCTAGATTG